AACAAAATGGAGTCGATGTCTGATCAATAGTCTGCTTTGACGTCCAGTAATGCATCGACAAAAGCAAAGACGAGAAAGAAACAAGTTTCATTGTTCACATTTGCCGAACTTCTTGTATATAAAGCCTGTAAAAGTATTCCTATCTATTTCAACGACGAACAATATCTAGAAGCACACATTTTTTAACTGCTCATTTGCTATTTTCAAATAGACAGAAACAACGGAATGGAGTTTATGAGGAAAATATTCATCGGAACGATCACAGTTGCCTTGATCATTGGCACTTTACCAGTAGTTATCTGTGAAAATCAATGTACAAAATATGGTAATCCACCACGAAAAGCAACATTTTCGCTTGATGCATTAGCCTCAGTCGTAGATTTATGTCTCAATATCAACGACGTGTTGTCAGGCATATCACCACTCTTATCTCAACTCTTATTGAAGGCTCAATTAATGAAATTTAAAGATAACAATGGTGAAGACCGAGCAGCATGTTTACTCACAAAAGGATCGACTCAACAGTTGCCGCTGTTGGTTTGGCTACATCCATCGCTGGCTACTCGAGCTGCTATTGTATTCACTGGACTATTGGAAGCGATGACTACGGCTGATTTGACAAACGATAAAAGTCGAGTTGGATATTCTTTATTGCTAATATCCGGTAGAAGCACTACTCATTTTTATCCGTTTCCTGATGACGTTGGTCTCGGATGGGATAACTGGTATCGGAATTATAATCGATCAGATCCAAAAATAAATGTTGACGTCCAAACAATTGACTATTTTATTCAAAATGCGAAATCAGCAGTTAATATTGATGTGAAACGTGTATACATGAGCGGTTGGAGTAATGGCGCAGCAATGGCTGTTCAATATGGACTAAATACACCAAATATTGCTGCTGCTGCTGTTTATTCGGCACCTGATCCATATAAAGATATTCATGATCCCTGTGCACAAAAACCAAATCCGCCATATCTTACACCATTTAAAATTCTTTATAATCAATGTGATATCGCCGGTATTTGTACAACAGGCAAAGCATTTATAAATGATTTAGTGACGCGATATCCAAAATTAACAGCTAAATTTACTGTTACGAATGCACTACAACTATCAACTCTCAGCCCGCCAATGTGTACTGTTTTTGCGGTTCTCTGCTCGAATATATTACTTGGTGGCTTAAATCATGCACGTTGGCCTGTTTTCTTAAATCATGAATTTTTCGATTTTTTGAAAAACTACACATCGAAATAGATATGGCATAAATCTTGTTGATTCAATTTCAATGTTTTAAATCTAAATATTTAATATAATACTTTCTAATAAATGTTATTTACGCTTACGGATGGCTCGTGCAGCCATCAAATACGTTGTCGAACCACAGGTCTCTATGATTATGTCTGTGAATACAAAAGTACCCTTGACGGAAGTATAGAATCTAATGTATCTTTTTTTACTAAGTTAGCATTTTTAACTTTGGACATTGTAATCTTAGTAAACTGAGGTCTTTCGATACAAGAAACCCTTCGATGTTGTAGTTAAACAGATGATGATTTCTTGCACACGCTATTATTGCCAGAGAATGTAGCCCAAATAATTAATAATATATTCTTTTCGTACTTTCGTTCACCAGCTATGTGTTCTTTGTGAGGAAATGTAAGAAATTTCTCTCTTTTTTCTCTTAACCGACCACTTTTTATTACATATATAAACAAAATGGAGTCAATGTCTGATCAATAGTCTGATTTGAAGTCCATTAATACATCGAGAAAATTTGATCGATTCGTTTTAATTGCGTTTTTCTCGATCGAGAATAATCGCATTTAAAACCAGTCGATTTTCACAATTTAACTGCTCATTTGCTATTTTTGAAATAGAAAGAAACAACGGAATAAAGTTTTTGAGGAAAATATTCATCGATATGATCACCATTGTCTTGTTCGTTCGCACTTTACCAGTAGTTCTTACCTCTGATTAAGAATAATGTGAAAAGTAGACAAAAATATATATTTATGAAAGTGAAAAAATTTACATGATACAATCCACACTAGCTCATGTTTTGATTTTCGAAATGTTAAATGGGAGTTCAACTGTTCTTAAACATGATGGAAGATTGTGTCTTTATATATAGAACAGGTACTTGCTTTTACTATGTCTACTTCAATAGTATCTTCATATCTAGCATGATATGTTTTAACTAATGCATTATTAAATAATTTAATCTTAGTATTGTATAATATATATGCTTTAGTAGGTTTAATAGAGTCTAAAAGCATACTAATATTGGTTGGTGAACGTAAATCAACAATTGTTAAAACTTTTCCAATGCATATATTGAATAGATATAATAGTTTTGCACGTACTCGTATATGGATTGCAGGGATATTGTATAATAATGTGTAGTTTCTATACTTTGTATTACCTGTGTACTCACTGGGTAATCGAGTGATAAAATCAGCAATACATGAATCTAGTAATGGCTACCATTCAGTGTTCGTATTTTTATTCATGAAACTAATTAATTGTTTATCGCCAGCACTATTAGAAAGTTTATTTGATCTCTCGACTTCTTGTTGTGTAACTCCAATTCCAAAAGAACTTGACTGTTTAATAAATTCTTCGGGAAATAATGTTTATTTTGTTTATCTGTTAATGTTTTTATTGTATCCATTATTGTGAATAACTTATGTAGAAGTTCAGTATGTTTAGAATATTCATCAAGTTTACACTGACTTTTAGTTTCTTCACTTGCTTGATCCTGTTCTAACACTAGTTTTTCTTCAAGTTTAACACACCGTCGTTTCTCTCTGTCTTTCATTTCCATTGCAAAACATAAGTCCATTACTGCAAATCGTAAATTGTTAACTGAAAGATTACTTTTCAAACTTTTAGTTGTTATAAACTCAAGCAACTCGGGGAAGAATTGGCGTGCATTTACATTTAAACTGAAATTATCAGTAGTTTGAAATAACACTGTAAATATACGTAGAATAAATACCTTCTTGTGACGTGCAGGAACTAATAAAAATAAATCGAACAGTAAATTAACTAATGATTCAAGAAAGAGAATTGATACTAAGATTTCTACATATTGTTTGTTTGTGTTTTTAATTAATTCAAGAAATAGTTTTAACACCCATAAGACAAAGTTTAAATTGTGCTGTTTAATAACAGTTTGCTCATCTATTGTCTTATCAACGATATCTAATAATGTTGATTGCGATATGAATTGAATATATTGTATAATAATATCTGTTTGTAAGCTGTCATTAAACTGTGAAAGGTCGACATCTAAACTACTTAACCTAAGTGACTTTGATTTCGTTGCTTCTGCTATTTGCATAGATATTTGCTTTCCACGATTATTTAGTTGAACTTTTATTTCTGAATTTTTAGGTAAACTTGGTATTTTAATGTCTATAACAATTGTGTATTCTGTCCATATATATGATAATTAGTCTACAGATTTTGTTTCAGTTTTTCCATGTTCATTTAAATTTTCATCAAAAGTTGTTTTTTCTAATATTAAATAACTATTATTTCCAAACAATCTTATTGCATATTCAGTATCTGTGACCGTGTCTGTGGATAATACTTTGAAATATTTGGATTCATCTATATCAATATTTTTCTTCTTTTTCTTCCATAGATTAGAATCAAATTTGCCAATAAACAAGAATAATTTACGTGAAAATTGTGTTTTTTTTAAACGTAAATGCATTTTCTTGTCTTCTATGTTGTTATAATCTTTGATAATCAACTGCAACATAGAATAAACTGTAAGAAAATAATCTTTGAATATGTTGTTCAGACAAAGCGTATCTCCACATGCCTATATTACTAATTTCAACTGTAAATTCAGATAATATACACACACATTTATATTCTTCCTGCTGATATTGAATGTACTAGAATCAAGTGTTCTGCATTTATTATTTATATAGATTTTTCACTTGTTTTTGTAACTCAAATATTGTAGCAACTTGATAAATATTTTTACTTTTAAATGTAAATTCAGTTGCTTCTAACAGTTGATTTAATTATATTGGGATCCAGTGTTAATAATTTAACAAGTTTATGAGCATTTGTTTCGGATGTACTTGGAAAATCAAAATCAAAACTAATTGTAAATGCAGTGAATGTCTCATTATAAACATGCATATCAATTGATAAAACAATGCCAGTATTTTTCAGTTTTAATTTTTTATGTTGAGTATTAATATTTTTTGATGTTAATGTGGTTGGAATATGTTGTTCATTTACAAAATCGCGTAGAAGCTAATGTATTAAATCAGATTGTCGCTGTACAGTGTGAAAATAATCTATCGTTTGATCGTCAACTAAATATGCGCTATATGGATCAGGAACTAAGGAATTTTCTGTATGAATTAATGTTAGTATAGTAATGGCTTGTATCCTTTAGGTAGCGGACGTTTCTGCATATCCTCAGGACTAAAGATAAATTCACAATAAACAGCTTTAGCAACAGTTAAAGCAGGAAAAAATGTTGTATACCGTATAGTACTATGTGACTGATGCGAAAGGCTGTATCCAAGTATTCACCATTTAACCAAATTTCAATGACTGTATTATCTCCATTAATCTCAGTTCCACATCCACAAGCATCATCTCTCGTCCACCGTGTACGTTCTTCGAAAAACCCTTCGACATTATGATATAAGGTGCCACGGGAACCATCATAAGACCATGAATATTCATCATCACGAACACCACGACCTTTCCATGGATAGGGATTTAAACCTTCAGTTGCCCAGCCCATTTGAACAATACCATCGGTATTCAGTTATACACAATAATACCATTTACCTTTGGTTAGTTGAATATTTTCAACCAAATATTGAACCAAAGACCAATGCTCTCCTTACTGTAAAATATATGCTTAAGCACTTGTCCCACACTGAAACTCAAAAACTTTTGTTCTTTCAGAGAAAAATGAATTTTAGGATAAAAATGTCTCCCGAGGTTTTTTCAGCTCACAATGTCCTGTGAGATTAAACTGGTCATGTCTCCTTTATCGTAAATCATTTGATATAGCTTGGCGATACAAATCTGGTCATGTACGTCTGGTAGCATTGTCACGTAATGTGCTTTATAAAAAATCCGTGCATGTGAGCAGCTTTTGAATAACTCGTAGGGAAATGAACATGGAGACCTCTGGTTTTCAGTTTTGGAAACTAGACACCTGAAGCCATCCTTTCACATGCAAAATCGATTTTTGAAAAGATTTCTGAAGGTCGTTTTCCAGAGGATCTGTAGAAAACTACCTTCGATTTTCTCAATTCAAATAGCAATTTATTAATTTTTTGCATATGTACATAGTCCAGAGTCTCTCCTACAAAAGTTGAACTAAGCGACATATTTAAAACCATGATTGAGGCGCTACGAACATTTTTCCCCAAGGTCTAGGACTGCTTTATCAATCGGTCTGGGATTATCAGAAATGCATGGAAATATAGGTTATCGGCTAAACTGTCGTGAGTCTCGCGGCAATGTCTGCTTTTAGAAAAAACATTTAGAACTTACGAGGGAACATCCCCAGGTTGCAAATCGCTATGATCGATCATATGGATAAAAAGACATCTACTTAATTGTCTAATTTTCTGTTCTTTTTCTTTTTTGTACTCTTATTGAATCAAATCTGGCGTCATTCGTTTATTCTGATGATGACGAGTGAACATCGTCGAAATATCAATAATAAATCAAAATAATAGCACTGTGATTTGTATGAATCATGTTTGCAGCAGTTTTGTATTTCTTACTACATTTTTTCAATATTATTGCTGTACCAAAACATTTTATTACTAATATTCGTCAGAAATACGGTGAGTTTATATTCTTATCTATCCGACGTCTTGAGAAATTATCAATAAAGTATCAAAAGAGCAAATGCGACTGTGAATTCTTGCGATTAACACTTATCTACAATTTAACACCTAAGTTCGTTCGTTTCAAAATGTGGAAAAATGAAATCAAATCTCAAGGAAAATATCATTCGTATCAAAGAGAATGTATTCATTTAGAATACAAAAGTCGTTATAAAGATTCGATGAGACTGAAAAGACATAGAAGATATACTAAATAGTTTACAGCTAAAGTTATCATTAAATAACAATCTAAAACAGTTCATTTTTGAAAAAGCCAAATATGAAAACGATAGAATAACGAAAATCCACGAGAAGAAATTAAATATATTAAATAACGGAAATATCGGACAAGACTATACCGCATTAAAGATTAAAGTATTACATAATATTTCTAGCTATACACTAACGCCAGCTGAAGAACGGCTTCTATGTCGTGGTATGAATTTCTGTATAGAACATAAAATAAAGGATTATTTAGAATTCAAAACAGATATAGAACATAATGTATCGAAAATCGAACAACACTGTCATTCCTCAATCTTCAAAACACTGTGCCGGAACATGCATGATTATTCTCAAAGGTTAATAAGAACCAACAAAAAGAAAATAATTCGTAATATCAGTGACGAAGAATATCAGGCAATACGTTCACTAAAAGAAAACAAAAATATTACAATCTGCAAATCTGATAAAGGTAATGCTATAAAAAAGAGTACATCGAAAAATCCCATACAATATTAAAAAGCCAACAATTTAAGTGTACAAAAATTAATTTGGTTAAACAACGGGAAAATGAAATGAATAAATATATAAGAGCACTATACGAACAAAATGTGATAGATCAAAAGACATTTTTTCACTTACATTCAACGTGTGCCTCAACTTCTGTCTTTTATGGACAACCGAAAGTACACAAAGCAAACTATCCGATCCGTCCTATCATCTCCTCTGTTGCCACATATAATTATAACCTATCAAAACACTTAGCGCAAATAATTACAAATGAACGACAAAAACCATCTTCGTATATAAAAGACAGTTTTGAATTTGTAAAGAAAATTATAAACTTAAAATCTAACAAAAATGAAATAATGGTGAGCTTCGACATTGAATCTCTTTATACCAATGTCCCTGTACATGAAGCGATTAGCATCACCTTGGATATTATATTCAAAGATAAAGATAATTCTACTACATGCCCATATGATCGTCAACAATTAAAAAAGTTATTAGAACTAAGTGTCATCAATATTCCTTTTCGGTTTCAAAATGAAAACTACATTCAACAAGATGGGGTTGCAATGGGTTCGCCTCTCGCACCCATCTTGGCTGCTATATTCGTCTCCTAACTCGAACAGAAATTAAACAGATTCAGCACTAACAAACCAAAGATGAGGATCAGATATGTAGACAATGTCTTCTGTATATTTCATAAACAGCAAAATATCGATGAATTTCTCACAAGAATAAATAAATGGCACAGTAATATAAAATTTACCATCGAATATGAACAAAACCAAAGTCTGTCATTTCTTGATGTTCTTATAATAAGAGAAAATGACAAATACCAAACCACTTTATATCGAAAACCAACTAGTACCAACCTTTATCTACTCTATGACAGCAACCAAGCTCGCAAGTACAAACTTGGATTAATTAAGTCCCTATATATACGAATTCTAAGAATCTGCTCAAACAAAGACTTTATAAAAACAGAAGAATTAATAAAAGTACTAATTAAAAATGGTTATCCTAATCACATCATTAGAAGAGGATTAAGAGAAGCAAAAGTGATACATAAGAGAATAACAGGAACACAAGAACAACAAATAGTAGT